GATATATAACAATTCAGTACTATTTTAAACCTATTTCCAAGAAGTGTCAACTAGCCTATGGGATTTGTTCTCATCAAAATGTAGCACACGGGCCACACGCCACAGCCACGAACGCTGCCACGAGAAGCTAGAAGCGGCTACTAAAGTGGCTGAAGCGCGCGACAGCGGCCGACTAAGGCAAGGGAGAGAGGGGTGGGGAATCACGCGAGTGACGTGTGGCGGCGTTTTGTATCGGCGCATTAAGTGGCCGGTGCGGGCCACAAGAAGCGAGCAACGACGATTTGTAGCGTGTGGCGGCCACCGGCGTACCGTGTGTGGCGAGTCCATATAAAATGTATGAAAACTACAAGAAATATGCCGGTGGCGGCGTTTTGTGGTTGTGGTCGGTGGCCCGTGTGCGGCGACATTAATACACGGCGGACGCGTTCTTCAATATCAATTGTCTCATATCATTACAATCATTTAGTTTAGCATTATAAGTTAAGGAGAGTGCAGTTATCACATGGTTAAAAAACATAAATTTGGTAAAAATCTAAACTGCAATCTAAAACAGTGTACACAGCATAAATAAAATCATGGCAAAATAAAAGCAAAACAAAACTTTTAAACTAGGCTAAATCGTTTAACACTGTTAATAGAACGAGGTAATAAAAATAAAATAAAAAATGGAAATTAAGGATCTTGAGTACCAGGGCCGAACAAACTAGAGATGCTTCCTTTGAACACTGAGAAACGGGAGTTGAACACATCAATACCTTTGTTGTTCCTTGAAAATTCGTTATAAGTTCTACACATTCTGACTATAGGATTATAATAAGAGGTGTTATTTTTAAAAACTTGAATTGCGAATGTATTTGGAAGGCGGGATCTATACAGCGTATTAATAGAGAGTGACGAGAGCAAAGCTGGCGCATCGATGTATGAGTGCAGAATCTTATGAAGGCAAATTAAATCGTATCTGTTACGCCTGGCTTGTAGGGAGGCAACACGAAATTTTGACAATGGGTCTTTATAATTATTAGGGGAACGACCATATTCAAATTTACGAGAAAGGATTCTCAGGAGTTTCCCCTGAACACGTTCAATTCTAGTAACATGTACATCATAATAGGGCGACCATACAGGGCAACAGTATTCAAGGATACTTCTCGCCAGACTGAAAAATAGACATATAATGCTTTGTGGCTTTTTAAATTGCTTAGTAGATCTAATGATAAATCTCAGCATACTGTTACTTTTCTTTATAATATGATCGTAGTGAGGACGGAAGCTTAACTCATCATCGAAAAACACACCTAAATCTTTTATTAGCGTTTTTCTGCTTAAAATGTTATTTTGTATAAAATAGGTATGAAACACCCTGCTTCGCTTTCGTCTTGTGAAGGATACAACACAACATTTATTAACGTTTAGGTTCATTTTATTCGATTCACACCAGTTTTCAATAACATCGAGGTTGTTTTGAAGAGCCTCACATTCCTCACCGTCACCAATGTTAGTAAAAATCTTTAGGTCATCTGCATAAAGAAGGGCAGGGCACGTCAATAAATCAACCAGATCATTCACAAAGATATTGAATAAGAGCGGGCCCAGGTGTGATCCTTGCGGGACTCCCGATGTAATGGCTACAGGACCAGATGAGTAACCCTTAAGAGTGACAAGTTGGGACCTGTTATTTAAATACGATTCAATCCACCTCAATAAACAGCCTAGAATAATATAGCGTGAAAGTTTTAGGCACAGTAGGCGGTGATCGACTCTATCAAAGGCCTTACTAAAATCTAAGTAAATGGAATCAACTTGACCACCAGTAGCAAAAGCTCGGCAGATATAGTTCTTATATTCCATGAGGTTTGTGAAGGTTGACCTTTTCTTAACGAAGCCATGCTGTCTACTAGAAAGAAAGCAACCAAAGTGACTGTACAGACCATCATATACAGAGGATTCAAAAAGTTTAGCCACACACGAGGGCAAACTAATCGGACGGTAGTTCGAACATGACGATCTATCTCCAGTCTTATAGATAGGGATAATGTGTGCTATCTTCCATCGTGCAGGAAAATCTCCAGAATTAAGTGATTTGTTAAACAACAATGAAAGAGGAATAGAAAGCTCGTCTGCACAGCGTTTAACAAATAATGGAGGAATCCCATTAGGACCAGCCCCTTTTCTTTCATCCAAATGCTCAATCACGAACATCTTGTCACTCTATGGTGAAGTTACTAAGCGTAGAGTTACAAATATTAGGCAACATTGTCAAAACTCTCGGCTCTGAGCGTGGAGGTGCTTCAAGCACTGAACCAAAGTACTCCGAAAAAAGCTCACAGATACCCTGACCATCTGAAGAAACTTTGCTATCAAAAGTCATGGTCTCAGGTATCGTATCTTTGCCTTTTCTTCCCTTAACATATCGCCAAAACAGTCTCGTGTTGTCACCAAGAAGTACAGCCGTTCGTGTTTTTCATTTTTCCCGAAGGTTGACTGGGAGAGAATGCTTTTAGCATTGAGTCCGCCTTTTGCACCATTGTTATATATTTTGATCAATAAAGTTTAAAATAATTAATAATAATACTGCCGTCCTCAAGCTAAAACGCGGCTAAATGACACAACCAACTTTTGAGATATGGCCAAAAAACGGCTCGTAAACGATAAATTATTGCTATTTTGTAACCATTCAGCGCCTTACGGATTTTTAGACTTGAACTATAAACGATACAAATACTTGTTAAAGACAGATCGATAGAGTATTTGAAACTATACTAGCAAACCAGTGAACCAAATGTTCACCAAAAAAAAAAAATGTATTTAATTAATTGAGAACTTCGGAGATTTTGTGTGGTTTCGTTTGAAATAGAAATCACGTGATTTCTCGAAAACTGGAAGTGCTACGTTACTCACATCCGGTTTGTAGTCTTATCAGACTATTCTTAACTTATAACTTAAACATTCTCTATATCTATCTCTTACGGTTTGGCAGCTGAAACAGCACCACGGACGGACGGACGGACGGACTTGTCTAATAGATAAGAGATAATATGCAATTTAGGGCTGAATAATCGACCTCATGTCACTTAGCCGCACTTTAGTTTGAGGACGACAGAATAGATAGTACGGAGATGGAGGCATTGGCTGCAGTGCCTTTATAGCCACGTTCCTAGGTTCCGTTCCCGCTTGTATCCAAACCCTGGGTGCATAGAATATGTATCTATACTTCCATATCCATACTAATAACACAAATATAATAAAAATACGAAAGTGTATCAGTTACCTTTTAACGCTTAAACCGCTGAACCGATTTAGATGAAATTTGGTATGGGGCCGTCCATAAATTACGTCAGCGATTTTTTCAGATTTTAGACCCCCCTCCCCTACAATCATCCTATCGTCATTTCTTAATGACCCCCCCCCCCCTTCTCCAAAAATTGACGTCATTACCAGTTTGACAAAATTAAAACATTGCAGATTTGAGAAAAGCTAGTATTATATGTAATATTATTGTTAGAGTATTTTATCTGTAGTTATTACTGTATTTGTGTACATCTATGTTGCATTATGTATGTTTATTATGAGTTATTTTAGTATTGTACGCGCCTTAGGCGCCTCTCACATTTGCAGTCTCACTTACTAGGTGTGCTGGAAGAAATTTCTTTTTAGAAATAATCTTTTTGTACGTGAACAATAAACTATAAATAAATAAATAAAAATGACGTAATTTCGAAACACCCCCCCCCCCCCTATCTATCATTTACCGTCATCCGCAGACCAACCCCCCCCCCCTATCTATCATTTACCGTCATCCGCAGACCCCCCCCCCCCCCCTAATTTAGAATGACGTAATATATGGACGGCCCCTATAGAGATAGTGTCAAGGACGACGCAACCACAGCACCACCGTTCCAAGATAGCGCGAACTGCGAGCAACCGACGAAGCAACTGCGGCGGGGCGCGGGACATCGCGCTAACTGCGTGTTAATAATTGTAAATAGAAGTAGGGTCATTTTGTCATTTGAGCATGCGATCCAGACACAGCAAAATTGTAAACAAGAAAATAAGAAATTTAATCGTATGATTAAAACTCGAGGACTCAATCTATGTGGACTATACAGTACACAACAGATAGAGTTCCGGAGAAGGACACGAGCTAGTTTTTATCCCCAAATTCATCCTTTAAGAGGGTGAAGAGTCGGGTGAAAGGCGGTGGAGGCACGAGTTGTTAGAACTTTTTAGCCACGGCTTTAGGTTCCATTCCCGTTCGAGTCCAAACCCCGGGTATATCCGGGTATCCATACTTCAATATCCATACTAATAATAGAAATTCGAAACCGTGTCTGCCTGTATGTCTATAAGTTCTTCACGCCTAAACCGATTTTAATGAAATTTGGTTTAGAGATATATTGAGTCTCGGAGTAGGACATAGGACATAGGCTTTTATGCCCAAATTTATCCTCTAAAAGGGTGAAAAGGGCATGAAAGTTTGTATGGTAAACCAATTCATTTTAGTAAATAATATTAATTTAGAGAGAAATTTATTATAATTTTACGTTGCTCACATTTAATTACTATTACTTTAATGTAATATTGTACGCCCGAAATGGGCAAGCTGTTGGCACTACCCAATTTTAAGAACCATTTGTTGTGTAGAATAGAATAGAATAATTATTTATTTGCGTTAGAGCAGGGTAATCAAGATCACAAATAGTTAAACATAACTATACTGTAGGTTTCACCTATTCAGCTATAGACCGTAGCATGCAAATTTACATAAGATTTTTATCAAATTAATTAATACTATGTCACATAATTGAATAAAAAATAACAGGTCACAGAATAAATAGTCAAAAATATAAAAATTTGATTAAAATCAGGTCATACTAAAATGTGAATCAAAAATATAATTAAACCAGTATATGTCACTCAAAATCTCATCCTTACTATTATTTATATATTTACAAGTATGTTTGTTTTTTTACAATAAATGATTTACCTTATCTTATTCCTACCTTATAAGCGTGATACTGCGATATATCGCTGCCTGGCGGTGGAGGCACGGGTTGTAATGCCTTTATAGCCACGGCCGTAGGTTCCATTCCCGTTCGAGTCCAAACCCCGGCTAGGACCGTCCCGAAAGCTCCCCGGCCAGCGACTGAGGTCCGGGTGATGTCTTCCCAACGGGCGCGTTTGTCTTCTTCCACGTCTAAAAGTAACTGGAAGAAGGAAGAAGAAACTTCTATTAACATAATTATCATAACTGAACATAACAACTTTTATCACATTCACAAGATATCTTAACTAAATAGTCAGTATTTTTTTAATAATAATAAAAATTATGTTATAAATAATTATTGAGGAGCTCGATGGTACAAGTGGTTAGCGCGTTGAAGTTAAGCAACTTTCGTTGTTGTCGGTCATTGGATGGGTGACCGAAAATTTACTGTCTCTCACTCTTCCGTACTTAAGCCGTTGGTCACGTAAAGCCGTTGGTCCCGGCTGCATCTGCAGTCGTTAGCACCCACCAATCCGCACTGGGCCCGCGTGGTGGGTCACGGCCCAAACTCCCTATTCCATCCATAGGAAAGGCCTGTGCACCAGCAGTGGGGACATTGATAGGCTGATGATGATGATGATGAAATGTTTTCTATCCGTTACCCTAGTATCCCATAAGACAAGCCTACGGTGCTTACTTTGGGGCTAGGCTAAATAAGTTGAGTGTTGGAAATATTTATTTATTTATTCTTAAGTGAATTTCAATATTGTATATGCAGAAGAAACTTACAGTGTCAGGAGCTAACTCCCTTAGAGCCACGTCTCCATGCACCGGGCACGCGGGTTCGATTCCCGAGCACGCGAACAGAACGCATTCCTCCAGAGCCCAAGCGTAGACCGCCGTCGCTCCCGCTTCCGCTACAACGTCCGCTTCCGCGTCCGCATCCGCTCGCCCTTCTACTGAGCCAATGCGGGACGACGCTGTGTAAAGAGAACACAAATACAATACAAATACAAAAAAATACAAAATTCTTTATTTGATACAATAATTTCCGATACAGTATTGCGATTGGGAATTTCTTTTAAGTAAATATATACTTGTATTAGAAATTCCCGCTCTCCGTGCTAAAAGACATGGTACATTGAATTATTGATCACCTTAATATTTTAATAATAATGATATGAACTCTAAAAAGTAGCAAAAAAAAAATTCTTTTTTTTACAATATTTCTTTTAGTCGATTTGTTTGTCTGTGCTTATGCATGCTTGTATGTGGGTGTATGAGTGTGTGAGTGTACGTGTACGTGTACGTGTGTGTGCGCGTGTATTTGTGTCTGAACAAAGAGTGTATTGTTGAAAGTGGTTCTACTGAGATACCTATATAACACCAAAATGCAAAAGATAACAATGTTTATTTAAACACATTCTATAAGAACATTCTATAAGTTTACCGTCCAATCACAGCAATAGGGTACTTGACAAGTTTTAGAAAACGATCTCACGTTATTGACTAAAGTTTATGAAGTCCGTAAAAAGTGGATATCCATCATTCTGTTGTGTATTTCAGTAAAAATAACCAAATCAAAACCTCCATTTTCAAGTTGCCGCGAAAACGTTTCTCTGGACAATATGGCGTCTTACTAGTGTGTGACATCACACGACTGTTATTAAAACGTCAAACGATACAATGTCATGTCACTGTAACCGGAAGTTTACTTGCGTGTGACGTCATTTTAGGCTCCGCCAATCCCAAGCGTTTTGGGTCACGTGACAATAGATAAGAAAACTATTATCTTTTTCGTAGGTTTTTAGTAAAATTATGAATAGTTTTTTTGTAAAAATAGTAAAAGCCCCTGCCAATATTCATTCTAAACACAGATGCTAACAATTGGCAATTTATTTTTAATACTGTCAAAAACCCTATTTTGCAAATTCTCGATTTAACTACAGCTAGATATTATCCGTATAATAATTTTAAACTGACATTGACGTTTTGGAACTTTTGTATGGGTTAAATCTAGCTTCAGTTGAAGTTATATTCAGTTATATAGAAGTAAAGCCTTAACAACCTAAACTTAAGAAAAATACGATTTCTAATTTTGGAAGGATAACGTCGCAGTCTAGTTTGTACCTATATAGTATGCACCGCTAGAAAAAATACGATTTCTAGCTCCGGAAGGCGAAGGTCTCGCTCTGGATTGTACCTATAATAGGCATGATGACGGGGTACAGTAAACGAAATTCTATTTAGTCCGTCAGTTAGATGATCAAAAAATAATGGACACGTAGTTTTTCTTTGGGCAATCAACCAAAAAATGACAAAGTTATAGCGCGTCAAAGTTTGGGAGTAGGGGCTAGTGACGTCACTTTTAAGTGAAAATTGTACCAAAACGTGACGCCATGCGACTTTTCAAATCAATATATCTCTGCAATGTTTATATTATGTGAAAAAAGAAAAAAATCGTGTCCAATACTCTTTGATAATCGTCCTGATAAACGAAGAAAAGAAAAAAAAATAGTCATCATCCCTATTAGTACCCCACCACTAGAAATAAATAAAAAGTAAAAAAAACTTTTTAAAAACAAGCTTTTGCACCAAAAGGAATGAAATAAAACTTTCCTTGAAAACTTTTATTGTCAACTTATATACACATTTGACAGTGACATTTCGCTCTCGCAAACTATTCGAATTCGATATCAGTTCGTGCTAAGTGTACAGTCAGTGAGGACAGTCAGTGTGTGTCAGTGAGTGGGTACAGTGAGTGAATATTAAATAAAATGAGCGTGAAGTATTTAAAAACCTTCGGCGGTCAGAAATAACAAAAGGAAATCGCAAGCGATAGCTATAGCCATATCAATCCCGTAAGGAAATTGGATATACGAAAAAATAAATTATATATATAATAATCCGTTGTATGAGTGCGTGGTGGGTCAAGGCTCGCAATCCCTATTCCACCCATAGGGAAGGCGTGTGCCCCAGCAGTGGGGTCATTAATAGTCTGTTGATGATAATGATATAACGACAGACCGTTTGATTCAGCGCCGACGCCACTGTCGCGGTCCGAAGCCCTCGATTCCTGAGACAGCCGACGAGCTCCGCCCATTTCTAGCGGTAACGCCTGTAAACATAAAATATATACAGGGTGTGACAAAAATCCGAAATAAAACTTTAGGGTTTGGTTGTGTTCCTTGTATAGAATTACCTACGAAAGTTTGACGCCTTTTAGACCACTTTTATTTTCTAATTAAATTAATAAAAATATCGTTTAACACCTGCCTATGACAACCCTATAAATGCGTACGATTACTACTACCTAAACGGACCCCCCTCTCTACCCCAGGCGCCCCTGCACCCCGCTCAGATACCTACAAATTTTTATTTCGGAATACATACCTACAAATTTTATTTCGGAATTCTGCAACACCCTGTATAACTACTAGCTGACCCAGCGAACTTCGTACCGCCATAAAAATAGGGGCAGGTGGAAGAAGATTCCTCCTAACCCATATAAGAACACTACATTACAATACCCAATTGTAGGTTTCAGAACACTACGTTACAGGTGGACAACCATTATCACATAAGGATATGAAAAATAGATAGTAGCCGAGTCTCAGACCCACGCAATATGTATATAAAATTTTATAAAATCGGTCCGGCCGCTTCGGAGGAGTATGGTAACTAACATTGTGACACGAGAATTTTATATAATAAGATATACGCCCAAAAAAACATTTAAATAAATGCGTATATATTATTTGCGTATAGTTTATTTTTGATTTTTTTACGTGTGTGTATCATCATTTTTATAGAAAAAGGTATAAATCACAAAAATACAATTAATAATTTATTTAATTTATAATTCATTCAAAAAATAGTTCGTTAGTCATATTTTTTATTTTTTAAGCATTTAACTGCTAGATGTTTAAATCTAAAGAAAATTTTACGAGAAAATGTTCCAGGCTGCAGACGGGACGAAGTAGTTATTTAATTCAATATAATATTTATTTCAAATTAATTAATTTCCATCAATTAATATTTTATTTAAATAGAAAGACTAAGTAGCGCAAACGGTTGGCGAGTTCTAATGAGATCGTTGAAGTTAAGCAACTTTCGCAGTGGTCGGACATTGGATGGGTGACCAAAAATTTACTATCTCCAGCTCCTCCATACTTTGAAAAACATGTTGATGTCATGTAGTACAAGCAAAGGAATATTTATTATAAATGTCAGATTATTGGATTATTGATAAATAAATATTTCCAACACACAGCAATCAGCCTAGCCCCAAAGAAAGCACAGTAGGCTTGTGTTATGGACTAGGGTAATGGATAGAATACATATTCTACATATATATAACAGACAGAAAATACGTATATTCATATAGAAATACATATTAAACATCCATGACTCGAGTACAAATTAATGCTCGTACTTGTACTTGTACGATTTTTTCAATAATATATTTATAATGCGATTCAACTAAGAATAGGACCGACTGAACGCCATATTTTGACGTCATAGCTGTAAATTCAAACCAAATAGGTAGAGTGAGCAAAAAAGTTTTTATTTAATAAAACTTATTTACTAAGATTAAGTGAGAAAAAGCATCAGATTTTTTTAATAACTTTTATTTACTAAGATTGAGAAAAAAAAACGATTTTTAATAGTATTTATTTATTAAGACTGTGAGAAAAAAGATAAATCAGAATCTAGCTCTTCTATTCCGCTCATCTCTGCATAATCATACTTTATTACTAGGTCACATACGAACATGCATCTTTTATGTAAACGAAAGTTTGAAATCGAGTTTCTGAACGCAGCTTAAAGTGGCATTTGGTTGACGATTTAGGTTATCAACCATTCATGGCCAAAGCTCAATAAGTGAAAAAAAAACTGCTGATATTAGTTAACAATATTTGTTATTGTTTGTTTACAAATGTTTGGTTTTTATTCTAGAATGAGCGGATTGCTATAAAAAGGGTTCAAAGTTTTTTTTTGCAAACCGTACTTTTCAAGCGACATTTGACAGATAGAGGTCATTGGCTTTCCTATTCTTATTTGAATTGCATTATATACATTTTCGCCTTTGACCAGTTCTTTAAGATCATTAAACTATTTATAAAACAATTTTAAAAGAAAACAATCAAAAGCTGTTATTAAAAAGTCCACAATCTCACTTGTTCGGCACGGTCGACTGACAAAGCATTATTTCCGGCGTTGTTTCCGGCGTCTTCGGCGTTTTCGGCGTCGCGCAGACACGCCGGGCACGGCACCAGGCGCGTGATGAGGCACCGCCCCTCTGATGTGTGGACGAATCTAGTACCTAAGGCGATGTAAATATAACATATAGTCATGATCAGAACCCGGGACAAAGAATAATAAGTAATCAGAAATCAATATATCTTTATTCAAATAGGATATTTGACAAGTTTTAGAAAACGATCTCACGTTATTGACTAATGTTTATGGAGTCCGTAAAAAGTGGATATTCATCATTCTGTTGTGTATTTCAATAAAAATAACCAAATTAAAAACTCTGGAAGTTTCCCTGGACAATATGGCGTCTTATTAGTGTTGGACGTCACACGACTGTTATTAAAACGTCAAACGATACAATGTAATGTCACTTTAACCGGAAGTTTGCTTGCGTGTGACGTCATTTAGGCATCGCCAATCCCAAGCGTTTTGGGTCACGTGACAATAGATAAGAAAACTATTATCTTTTTCGTTGTTTTTAGTAAAATTATGAATATTTTTTTTGCAAAAATAGTAAAAACCCCTGCCAATATTTATTTTAAACACAGATGCCAACAATAGGCACTTTATTTTTAACACTGACAAATACCCTATTCTTTAGTGATAAAAATCAAGAAGGTATCAATCGAGAAAGGCTGTATGAAGAAAACCTCCTCTTAAACCACCTCGCTGCTCAGCTAGTTACTCGTTACTCGCCCAGGTGCCTAGCTAGCTGCCTCGCTAGATTATGACGATAAATTTTCATCTAACCCCTATCCGCCACGCCGTCCAAAAACGAACTTCGTTCCAATAATATTTATTTCCTTTACCAATAATTACTTGCACAAGCATGCAAAGGCGGACTTAATGCCGTAGGCATTTTCTGTCAGTCAACCATGGGGTGTTGTGAATAATTAGTGGTAGGGTGCACAACTGAGGTGGAAATTAAAGAAAGACGAAGAAAGATAAATATGCAGTATTAATATAAATAAGTGTCTACATATAAATAACTATACATTACATATATACAGACATACATATATAAACATGCATACTAAATAAATACAGAATAATGACGACAAAAGTTTAAGCTATACTGCTTCTTACCGCAAAAAGGTTTCAATAATATCATCACGTCTGTCTGCCACTCACCGAGTGATGGGTACCAGTCTTCGAGAAGCAGATCCAGGTGATCGGTTACAAGGGCCAGCGCCTTCGCCAGCGTCTCCGGGTTCGGTTCCAGACAAATGCTCTAGACAAAATGAATTAGAATAGATTGAGCTTTATGCTGTCACGTTTTCAATGCGAAATTCCTAAAGATTTCGATAAGAAAGCCCTTCTTAACTTTTGGTTGCATAGATAAATGCGAAATAACATCACAAAAATGTTATTACAATGGACGTATGACAGAGCAGAGAATCTTTTAAAGATTATGAGTTTAATATACACATACACACAGTTACACACACACAAAACACTCACATATATACGCGCGTATTACCAATGTATCCATTCTTTTTAGATTTAATTTGTTTGTATTTTTAGGCCGTAAATGATACACAGTAAAACCCGTTTAAAACGATTTCACAGGGACTCAACCAAAAACGCGTCTTAAGCGGGAAAGCGTATTAAGCGGGATTGTGGGATAGGAAAATTTCGAATGTAATTATTGAGGTATTAAATGTACAATATTTAAGAATTATGTATGTCATAAGAAGTTATTTAAATTGATCACTTATTTTTGTTTGCCAATAAGATTTTGAGGCATTAGCAGTTACAAGATTTTCAACATAATTTAACTTTTGCAGTGCGTCTTCGCTTTAATTCAAAGAGGTTACATATCGTCTTAAATCATTAACTGCTGATAATGGTTGGGCGTGTGATAAAATCAGAGTTGACTCATCTTTTTCTTGATCATTATCACTTAGGGCCTCTTCTTGTGTGTTATTCACTTTCTCATTGAATTTAAAGCTGCCGCAAGAGGTAATAAAAGTGGTACGTGTTGGCGATTTAAGCGTATTAAACGGGATGACGAATCGTATTAAGCGTTAAGAAATGTATGAAAACATGTTTCAAGTTGCAGGAACTGACGCAAAATGGCGTATTACGCGAGAAATCGTATTAAGCGTGATCGTATTAAACGGGTGCTACTGTATAGTAAATTGTTTACTTCCCCCATAGGACGAGCTTCGCCTAGTCTGGGTGACTGTTATATCATTTTGTAAAACTGTTTATGAAAGTCTATCTACTGTTTGATTCACACCGCGACGCAAAGTCAATAGGACGTTTTTATGAATTCATTTTGCGTCGCGGTGTGAATGTAACAGGATTTTTCTATGACACCGAATGCAGCTTAAAATACATCACTAATCAAAAAATCACGTCTGTTTGGTTTCAAGTCTGTTTTAATATTGAAGTTATACTTCTTTAGGCGCGTTCTGAAAAATTGTTGAGAGTGAAATTTTAAGATGCGCGCGCATCAAGTAACACAAAAAATTAACACCATGAAGTTGGTCGCTTTAGCGACCAACTTCATGTGCCGCGCTGCCATTACCGCGTCGCCCGCCGCACCGTACGCATGCGCGGCCACTCGCGGTCCTAGCGCGGGAAACACGTGCAACAAACATCGGGAAAAGTTACGAGTTTTGAATTTAGAACAGAGACTGTTTTCATATCTATATATATAAAAATGAAACCCGTTTTCCGTTGTCACGACATAACATGAAAACGGCTTGACCGATTTGGCTGTTTTTTTTTTGTAGTTTTCTAATACTCTGTACAAGGTTCTTACGGAAAAAAATATAAAGAAAATCCCAAGGGGATAAAATAAGGAATGAAAGTTTGTATGAAACTTTATCAATTTTAAACCGATCGGGCTGAGACTTTGCATGCAGGTATAAGAAGAATCATAGATGAATGTCATTGTGTATAATACAAGCCTGAGAACAAAAACTGTAGTCTACACTTCAGCTCTACACCGAAGCGAAGCGAGGGCGGGCCGCTAGTTTATAATATTTATCCACATGTTTCTAGTTTGTATATTCGGAATACGTGTTTGAGTTTCATACAAGTGCAAATCACATATGTTCTAATAAATTATATTCAGTAGCGATTTTAATTGAATATTTTGATTATTTATTTATTTTTTCAAATTAAAACTGAACTTTATTGACTGTGTCCTTTTCCAGACTTTTTATTAATTTATTGTAATTAATTATTTGCATGCAATTAAAAACTAATTTTAAACGATGCCAAAGAAGGATAACTTCTCACGCGCCTACATAAGTACACGCACCCATTTTTTTTGTTTTAGGCATTGTTAGGTCTATTTCATAAAAAATATTTAACATAAGCTACTTTTGTAAAATATATGACTGTTTGTTGCCATAATAAAATAAAAATATTTTTATTTAGAAAAAAAGTCCTACACCTTCCAGTGAAGAAGTCTTAAGTTTTCAGTATGGAAGCACAATTTCTTAATTCCCACTTATAATTAGATTAATGGTATTTAATTTTTTCATTCAATGAATTCATTACAATGAATGAAATGATTGAGACTTTCGGAATTGATATTTTTTTATATAAGTCAATAAAAATGTGCGTGGAACGAAACGAGCTTACTTTCATTTGACGTTTTGACGGCCATTTTGTTTACACAGTTGACTTCATTTATTTTTGCTAACGACCGGTACCGGATTATGTACAAAAGTGTGTAAAAATTACGATTCACGTCGTTGAAGTATTGTTATTTTTTTTTGTTAATTGGTGATAATAAATGAATTTATTTAAAAAACAACCAATGCATTAATGTGTCACAAACAAGAAGTGTTCTTTTCTGTAGCTCTGAGAGGTTATATTTATGTTGTGCATAGACTTAATGTCTTTTTCATTTTTGTTTAGATTTAAGAAGTAAACAATAATTATCCATAGAAAGTTTTGATACCAAGCATAAAAAAGATGAAGATTTGTGTACGAGCTGTACATACCTACTTGATTGTACATTAAAATGATTTCAAATTGACCCAGATTACTTTTAAGCATACTCATGAAATTGTATTTTTTCTTGCACAATTAGTCACAGAAATAAATTAGTGTTTTTACAACATTCAAACGGTTCGGTTTTATTTAGCACTCCTTGGAGTAACCTTACCCTTAACAAGCATCAAGTGTGGGAAGCAACTCCCCACATTTTTGGTCCTTCGAGCAATCGTTGCGGGATCAAGTTTCGGTTTCGTGTCTTTGGACAGTTTGTGAGTCGAAGTGCGGTACCCTAAAAATTCGTTACGTGGACAAAGTTGTACAAGTGATTAACTTCGTCGCGTTTCACCTCGCAACGTACTGAACAGTAACCAATCAAGCATCAGCAAAATTTGAGCAATCTACATCGTCTTCGTCAGTCTCGCTCAATTCCAACTAGGATCACACTGAGCAGTAAGATTGACAGCAGTTCCTGGGGAGAGCAGTTAGCAGCATCTAATTACATCAACGGCATTTCAAGTAAGATTGTTCCTTTTATTTCAATTAATCATGGAATCTCTCATTCAGCGTCAGTCAGAAATCCAGGAGCAGATGAAGCAGATCAAAAGTAACTTTAGCAAGGACGCTTCGAGTCGCAAAACTTCTGATTATCTGATGAAACGTCTAACCGCTTTAGATAGTCTCTGGGGAGAGTTCAGTATGAATAATGAGCAATTACAGTTATGTGAGAATAAAGAGCAACAATATTTTTTGGAAAATACATTTGATCAAGCAAAAGATTTTTACATAAATTTACGTCATACTATATCGTCATATAAAACGGAGAAAAAGCATACAGTTGACAAGGCTATTCAGGACGGAAAGGTGAATGAATTGTTAAACCAACAGCGTACAAATTTTCGAGCATTTAATAGGTTAGTGCAGAGTATCATTCCAAGCGAAATATCCGAAAAGTGGGAGTTAGAAGACGAATTGCGTAATTTACAATTAAAATGGAATGTTATTGATAACATGCATTTGCAAATTGATAACCTTCTGCAAGGGGAGGATACATTTTATGAGCAAGAATTTATTTCATATGAAAAGAATTATAAGCAACTGAAACGTTCGCTCAATAAAAAATTATCAAAATACAACCCTCACTCACCAAGCCACGCCTGTTATTGATATCCCAACATTTACGGGCAAATATAGTCAGTGGCCTACATTTTTTGATTTATTTACAGAGACAATTCATAATAGTAATACATTATCGAAAACTCAAAAAATGCAACATTTAAAATGTAAGGTAAAAGGGGATGCCGAGCGGATAATTCAACATCTTAATGTTACGTCTGAGAATTATGACACAGCCTGGGAATTATTGACACATCGTTATAATAACCCGCAGGTATTATTTACAATGCAAATTGAGATTTTTTTGAATCAGCCTAATGTCCATAAGCAAACTTCGTATGAATTAAAGAAATTATACGATACGAGTGTACCGAGTGCATTCACGCGATTCATAACTTAGGTATCGATACGAATACATGGGATCCTCTGTTGGTTCATTTATTAGCAAAGAAGTTGGATTCAGCCACCTACAGTGACTACAAGGAATCTCGTAAGTCTCCGAGAGACTTGCCTACACTCGAAGAATTCATGACCTTTTTAGAAACCAAATTAATTGCTTTGGAGCCAATAAATAGGGAAAGAAAGGATAGAGAGGTACTTCCTGCACCTACTCGTCATAATCAGCACCATCAAGGTTATCAAAAACCTATAGCAACATGGAACAACAAGCAATCAAGATTTTATTCATCCTATAAGGCAGCTCCGATTTATACCTCTAATATCAAGTGTCCATTGTGCAAACAAGATCATCAGTTATTCAGATGTCACAAGTTCCTTAACCTTTCAGCAGAAACAAAAATGAGAACGATTGTGAAATACCAACTTTGTCAAAACTGCCTATTCAAACATAATGAAAAATGTCGCTCGATAAAACGTTGTAAAGAGTGCAACGGAGAGCATAATACGCTACTTCATGACGCATGCAAGCAGGCAATGACCTCGCCTAGCAATATACCTTCTCAAGCAAGCACAACTATGTCACCCATGCCTTCAACATCTAAGCAACTTAACGTAAATCACGTTGCTGCTGAAAATGAAGAAGTTTTGTTAACAACTATACTTATAAGGGTGAGGGCAGCCGACGGCAGTTACCTTGTATTAAGAGCATTATTGGACCAGGGTTCTCAAATTACCCTAATTTCCGAAAACGCTGCTCAG